AGGAGCGATCTAGATAACAGCAATCACAAAGAAGGGAGATCAAAAGTAGAACATAATGTCAGTCGCAAGGAAAATTCCATTAGTCCCAGATTTCAGAAGGGCAAACTTTGATAGGTTGAAAAGGCAGCAAAGAGAAAGGGTATTACGTTTGGGGGTGAATTTCATGACCCTACGTGAAGTGGTAAATAATGTGACCTTACATAATGTACCCACAGGGGGTGAACTCACTTTACCAGATGACCTCACAATGATAACCTCACAAAATATGACAGTTGAGGATGACCTGACCATGAGGTCTGAGGTTGGCGAGTTTCATAACAATTTAAATAATGAGTTACTTAATGCACAAAGGGAGAATATACCATACAGTAAACCCTGATCAAACAACAATGACCCCAAATGGATAACAAATTATTTAAAGAATATTATTGGACAAAGGAAGGCTATAGGTAGGAGAATCAATTGTGGTGACGTTTACCTCCGCGATTCTTATAAAGTATTGGCCGGTAGGGTTAAGATGGAGATAAGAAAAGCAAAGATGAATAATGAACTGAAGGTAGCAAGGGAGGAGAAGTCAAACCCCAAGGGATTCTTCCAAATGTATCAAACTAAAACACGAGACAAGATTGGACCAATACAGACAGATATCGGCAAACTAACTGATAACGACAAAGAAATGGGCATTAATCTGAACGGATATTTTTCATCAGTTTCCACAAATGAAAATTTAAACATGATACCCAAGGCACCAACTATCTACCAAGATAGTGAAGAAAATAAGATTAAGCGAAAAAGTAGTGACTAGTAACAATATTAGTAAACAAATAGATAAACTTAATCCTAATAAGTTGCCAGATCCCGAGATATTTGCCAGAGTATTAAAGGAATAAGGAAGAACTTAGTATGCCCTCACCAAATTTGATTAACATGTCATTAAAAACTGGTGAGGTACCAACCTCCAGGAGGATAGCGAATGTGATACCAATTTTGAGATGGGAGATAGATCGCTATCCTCTAACTACCGTCCAATTGGTTCAACATCAATTGTAAGGAAATTACTGGAAACAATAATTTCAAACTCAATTCGAAATCACCTTGAGAAACGCAAACTGATCAATGATTCCGAGCAAGGCTCCACAAGTGAACGTTAATGTCTGACAAATCTATTATCATTCTTTTCTACAGTCTTTGAATCGGTGGATGACGGACACAATTATGATGTGGTATACCTCGACTTTAGCAAAGCCTTCGACAGGGTCCCTAGCAAAAGACTAATACGTAAAGTGGAGGCTCATGCAACTGGAAAAGTTCTTAAATGGATTAGGGTGTGGTTACAGGACAGGAAACGGGAGTCGGTATTAATGGCACAAAATCTGATTAAGGTAATGTCACTAGTAAAGAACTATACTCCAAAGCTCAGTACTTGGACCATTACTATTTATCATATTCATAAAAAAATAGATACTCTATACTGTACGCATAGACAGCAACATAAGTAAATTTGCTGATGACACTAAAGTAGGGCATGTAATTATATCTGACAAGGACTCTGCAAAACTACAAGATCTAAAGAAATTTTTCACATAGTCTGAAAAATGGCAGATGAAATTTAATGTGGACATATGTAAAGTACTTAGCCTAGGAGATGAAAATAGAGACACCAAATATCAGATGAACGACGTTGATACAGAGAAATCCGACTGTGAGAAAGATTTAGGTATAATGCGTATTTGTTCATAACAAGGCTAACAAAGTACGTGGGTTCATACAAAGAAGTGTTAGTTACAAGACTAGTGATGTTATCCTAAAACTATATCTTGCACTTGCGAGACCTCACTGGATTATGCAGTTCAGTTTTGGTCACCGTGGATATCGAATCCCTAGAAAGCATATAGAGGAGGATGACAAGATTAATCCAGGATATTAGGAACCTTGAGTATAAGGACGGGTTAAAGCATCTTAATTTGCACTCCCTTGAGAGGCATAGAGTGAGGGGCGATATGACTGACGTGTATATATGGAAGTCAGGGTTAAACAAAGGTGATATAACAAAGGTACTTAAATTATCCAACCAGGACCAAACTCACAGCAATGGTCTTAAATTAGACAAATTTAGATTTAGGTGCCAGATAGGTTTGGAAATAGTGTAGTGGGTGAGTGGAACAAGTTAACAAACATCATCATTAACTCGAACACGCTGGGTAGCTTCAAATACAGGTTGGACGGATATATGAGCAATAGGGGTTGGGTGTAAACGGGATTGCCAAGTATGGGTCAATAGGCCCGCTGCAGTTTTCTCCATTCTTATGTTCAGTAGCTAAAACAACCATCTGTGCATACTTTGTGGGAAACCATGGACGATAAATTTTGGTATATGAGGGCTGTCACTAGTCACATGTAAAATTTCGGAGCATACCGACCCCCACCTGCACAGATAGTTGTTTTAGCTACCGTACATAATTTTACTTTATTTATTTTTTACTCTGTTACATGCACACACAATCACTCAGACAGAATGTGCAAAATATAAAATATAATTATCATAAGGTTAAAACCATAGAGAATAAACATTTCATATGTCCGCATTAGTTAGTGCTTGATCATGGAAGGGTAAGTGGGGAGCGGGAGGGTAAGTGGGGAGCAGGAGGGTGGTGCAGGATCTTAGTCGCCAAGCTGTGAGCTGTATTATTGTTATTTTTAAATTCATTAATCCAGATAGATATACTGTATGTAATTTTCTCTCTCTCTTTTTCTTCTTTTTTTTTTTACCTGTTACATGCACACACAATCATAAGGTTCAACACACAATGGGAATAAACATTCTTCATGTGCTTGGTGGTTAGTGTTGTGGATCTCACCCACTCCAGTCTCCCATGTCCTGCCTGTAGTGAAACTATTGCTAACTGGCAATATTGTATTTTTTATTTTATTTTATTTATAATTTTTATTTACCCCTCACACTTACTGGTACTACAGTACACATGCGACCCTGGTCTCTAATAGCCTCGGATAATGAGGAGGATGCAATACATACAGAAAAATATGTGGTGAAAGTTTCCGGCTGAGAACGCATCCCCCTATTTACATTAATTCTTATGGGGAAAATTGCACCGATATCTGCAAATTCGTTATTTGCAATGACTTTTAGGAACTCTTGCTTTGAGATAACCGGGATATTCGTGTATTGTATATAGTTTCTGGGTTACTCACGTTATTAGAAAAATCAAGAAGATAAACTGTTGACAGACAAAAGTTAGACTCAAGAACAGAATTTATCAAAACAATCCCACTCTGGCCTTGAGGCAAGTGACAACTGTTTAAGAGAAAAATTAATAAAAAGAAACAATATTGTGATTGGCTCAGCCATAAAAAATTGAGGTGTGACATACTGTAATGACAATCTGATTAATCTGATAAGCTTTAATACATTCCAAACTTTCTCCAACAAGGAAATTGTGAAAATTTTAAGCTACCAAATAAGTCCTCAGGAATAATAAATTCTCTTCTTGCTTGCCTACAGGACAGCCATTGTTAAAAAGTACCACAACCAGAATCACAAAACAATTATTTTTTTTAAGCAGATACTGTACAGTGTATCTGTTACTGCAAGCAGCAAACACATAAACAAATATTATGTTAGGCTGTAAGTCATGTCATGTTTATTGGGTGTGCCTGCCCGTATGCAGTATGTAGAGTGTTGAGATGGTTGAAGATGAGAGGCCCAGAAGGAGGTTGGAGGGTGTGAAGGGAGTTTGTTTATGTATAATTATAATCACCTGACTCAGCCATAGCTGACCAGCCAGGGGGCCAGGCTATAGGGTGGGCATTTCAGTAGAGCTACCCATATCTTCGAGTCAACACCTACCCTGGCTTCTCTCTAGACTTTCAACACGTAAGTTTAACTAGTACTTATTGTGTACACAGGTAGACTGTGTCCATTGATCAGTGTGACAATATAGAAATATGGCAAATTGAGTACTCATTGTTTTTGTGTTAAGATTAGACTAATTACATAGCCATGATTGTTATGTAAATATATATTGGATAAAACATTTTTGTAGGAGTGCCTATGTATGACTTATTTGAAATACTAAATGAATTGTATTCAACAGGTTTGACCGAATTACAATGTTCGAGTACTATGTGAAGAGTCTAAATATCCTTAACCGCCTGACTGGCGGTTATAGTATCTATCCTAACCTAACAACCAAAGTTTTTGGTTAGGTTAGATTTGATTGGCTTGTGTCCTCTGACAATTAAATAGTTTACCAACCCTATTCAGGGCATTTTTGGCTACAATTGAGCCTAATTCCTATTATTCTGTGCCAGACTAAAATTGGGATTATTTAGAGTGTGGTTTTTAAGCACCCAGTGACCACACCTAGGCAACACTTACAGTAAACCCTCATCCAATGCGGGTTAGGCTCCTCGAAACGGCGTGTTGGCCAAAATCTTGTTGGGCAAACTTAACTTCTTATGGGGTAAATTATGCGTATGGTGGATTCATTTGCAGAGTTCTCACTGGCAAGCATTGCTACATGCGCTCCTTCATATAGCCGATCTAAAATCTTTATTTTCTCGGCTAATGTCACCACTCTTCTACTTTTCTTGGGTGTGCTACCACCACTAGCATCACCTCTGCATTTGGGGGCCATACTACAAGGGTAAGCACACAAAGCAACACAAAAACAAAAAAGTTCCAAAACTACTTTAGTACAATATGGACAGTACGAGCGCGTAAGTGAGACTGGCGGGCATCTCCAACGGGCTCGTGGCAGAAGTACAGCGGAGGAGGAGGGCGTACTGTTAACCCGCTTATTCAAATTTTCAGTGTTGGGCAAATTATTTGGTCACAAATATTTAAACACGTATAGTCAAAATTGCATTGGACAAACAATAGTTGAGCGAGGGTTCACTGTACTTTTTCTAATACAGATCATTTTACAGTTAGACAAATAAAACACAAGACATCAGAGGTGGACACTTATACACAAACTAACCTTTCATCAGCCTTATGTAAGTCCAGTTCCAGCTTTGTCTTCTCAGAAGTCAGTGTCAATATCAATTCTTTTTCTTCCTTCAGCTGGTCATGTGCCTTCTCCACCTCACACTGTAGCCGGGTGGTTGTCTCCTGGTACTGCTCAAACGTCTCTGAAAATACCCAAAACTCCACATTACAAATTACAGTAGTGTACTGTATTGTCCTCCAGTTCTTTACTTACAACTTAGGTTTCCAAATTAAACTTAAATCTCTGCTTTCTGGTGTCCTAAAAAGAAGCTTTCTACTGCATGTTTTCTTTTATCTTGGATCTCCTATTTTTTCCTCCCTCCTCCCCAAGCTTTTGTCTTCCTGGTTTTTGTACCTAAACTGTGTCACTTTCCTGGTACATAACATTATCAGATATTTCTTCTCTTGCATATTGCTTCTATCTTTTACTTTATACATTAAACCCTCGAATGTCCGTACACCATAAGTTCGCATTTTGGACCCTTTCTGGGCAAGACGCATTTGTCCAAACCCTTAAATATTTGAGATTTGAAATTCCTGCCACGTTCAGTCATTTGATATTGCCGCCAGCAAGCAATCCTTTTCCCTCTTTCCTCCTTTCAGACCTGTGTGTAAGCAGTTCATTCCCCCATTCTTAGAATGAACTTACCTACAATGCTGCACTGTGATTGGTTTCAACAAACATTCACCCACAGAAAAATGGTAAGATTTTAGGTAAATTAATTCAAACAATGGTGATGGTGATCCTCCCAGGAAGGAAGTAAAAGACAAGTGAGTATTGCATCATCCATATCACACAAACACACACACACACACACACCAGGCACAGCCCATCTGTCTCCATTATTTTGAAGTCAAATTACAAATTATATATCAAATTTTTTCTATTATTCAAAATTTTATATTATTAATGATGAAACATACACCATAAGAGGTTGATCATACAGTATAATGAATAATAATATAAAAAAGGCGAACACAGCAACATATACAGTAGTCTCGCCCCCACTGTCAGGGAAGAGATTACCTTCTGATTTGGTTTACCCTTTTATTTTGAAGTCAAATTACAAATAATATTTTTTATTATTTAATACTGTATTTTATATTATTTATGTCAAAACATACACCATATGAGACTGATCATACAAGAACATAATAATGAATAAATAAAAACAAACTGGTGAACGGGGCAACGGCCAATCAATATACAGGCAGTCCCCGACTTACGACGGCTTGCCAGCCATTTTAAAGGGAATTACAAAAAAAAATTTTGTCACAACGCAATCACTAACGTCGGGACTCGAAAGTACGTAATTGAAAATTTTTGGGTACGACTGAGGCGGTCGTATGTCCGGGTGGTCGTAAGTCGAGTAGGTCGTAAGTCGAGGAGTACCTGTATTTTATATAACAAATATTTTTATTAATAAATTACAGTTGTACCCCACTTAACGCGGTCAATAGAACCCAGAGGGTCCCGCGTTAAGTGAAATCCGCGTTAAGTGAACAACAGAACATATGGGATTAATTCCAATAGAAACCAGCCCGACCCCCAAACTCCACTTTTTGAAGACACATAACTATGTTGTAGTAAAAATAACATCTTAATTTTATGATGGTACATGCACACAATTATTACTTAAGAGAAATAGAGAAATACAGTCGCCAAGTTAGTGTCCATTCAAATAATGGACTCAACTCCCTCCCCCTCTTCTCATACTACACTGCTGGCTCTTCCCTCTCTGAGAAATTTTTGGGGGAAAACCACTAAATTTTAATAAATAATACCTCAAACTAAAGTTAGGATAATACAATTGACATTGCTGGATTCCTTGTAAGACCAGGAATATTTTGAATATAAATGTCATATATTTTGCACAAAAGATAACATATTTACTTAGAGAAAACATTTTATCTAAAATTTGTATGTCTAATGCAAAATATATGATGTTTATATTCAAAATGATCACCAAATTGTAAGAATTCCAGCAATGTAAATTATATTCTGGCCGGGTAATTTGTATGAATTTTATGAGCTAAAACAAATATCTTCAGTTAATAAAAAAAAAATATTCTTCAGGACACTATCTGTCAATCAAAGTACCCCACCTTGCCTCCCCCCCTCTTCCAACCCCGCGGTCAGTCCCAACCCTCCCCCCCACCCTCCACCACTCCTCCCTTCAAGAGAAGAGTGGATGAAAAAAATAAATTTTAACATTTTGTATTAAATAATACCTCAGATTAAAGTTAGGATAATATAATTGACATTGCTGGATTCCTTGTAAGACCAGGAATATTTTGAATATAAATGTCATATATTTTGCACAAAAGAGAACATATTTACTAGAGGAAACATTTTATCTAAAATTTGTATGTCTAATGCAAAATATATGATGTTTATATTCAAAATGATCATCAAATTATAAGAATTCCAGCAATGTAAATTATATTCTGACCCGGTAATTTGTATGAATTTTATGAGCTAAAACAAATATCTTCAGTTAATAAAAAAAAAAAATATTCTTCACGGGGTAACAGATGGTCGGTCGGTCCCTCCCTCCCCCCCATCCCCCACCAACCGTCCCAAGGAGATGTGTGGGGAAACCAGAATATTTAACTTTAGTAATAAATAATACCTGAAACTAAAGTTAGGATAATATAATTGACATTGCTGGATTCCTTGTACGACCAGGAATATTTTGAATATAAATGTTATATATTTTGCACAAAAGATAACATATTTACTCAAGAGAAAACATTTTATCTAAAATTTGTATGTCTAATGCAAAATATATGATGTTTATATTCAAAATGATCACCAAATTATAAGAATTCCAGCAATGTAAATTATATTCTGGCCGGGTAATTTGTATGAATTTTATGAGCTAAAACAGGCAGTCAGGCAGGGTGGCGGGTGGGGCAAATCTAAAAATAGCGTCTCGAGCCGGACACTCACCGCGTATATGTGGAAAAAATCCGTGTTAAGTGAAAGTTCAGCTCTGGCGAGGCACCGCGTATATGATAAAACGTGTTAAGTGAAACCGCATTAGGCGGGGTAATACTGTATATACTATATTGTCTTTAATGAGGACACTGTGCAGTGGTCTAATCAGATCTGATATACTGTAGGCCTAACAAGAGCAAATAGGTACGAGATATGACCGGGTGTAAATGTGCTGGAGGTGGGGGGTGGAGGGTGACTGGCCATTGCCCCGTTCACCAGTTTATTTTTTATATATTATTCTTAAATGCTCAGACTCTCATGGTGTATATTTCATTAAAAGTATTAAAACATACAGTATTAAATAATAGAAATATATATAATTTGTAATTTGACTTCAAAATACAGTAGAACCTCAATAAATTGGACTAATTGGGGCAGACCGCAGTCCGAAAAATGCGAAAGTCCGAGAAAAGCGAATACCTGTATAGGGGGTTGGAGATAAACTGCTTATCTTAACTGTTTAAAGAAAATCAGTTATGTTATTACTACACTTCAACAACCAAGGTCTTTAACTGTATAACAAGGTTATTAAAAGAATATTGCATCAACAATAAAAAATAATAATATGAATCAGTACTCTCTGGGTTGAAAATCAGGCATGTATGTCTGGCTGTTACCGAGATGATTATTATTTTCTGTAAAATGTTGTATGTAAGTTACCAAAGAAATGATCTTATGAATAAAGAGGAAACTGTATACTGTACAATGGTAAAAAGATAAAAATAAGAACAAATAAGTGTAGGAGTTTATTGTATGTGGAAGATGAATGTTTATCTGGAAGCAGCTGGCAGATGGGGGGGTAGCACAAGTGGGTGGCTCCCCCCCCCCCTCTCTCCCACAAGCTTCCTTAACACTACTTTATGCAATTCCACCAAAATTCTCATATAATTTAGGATCATTTGGTGCCAGGTTGATAAAATATTATCCTAAAAGAATCAACTTTCCTGAAAAAAGAATCCCACACTGAACACCATGAGTTATTTGTTTACAATGGGCAAACAGCTGATTGGCTTACCACAATGCCTGTCTTCAACAATTAGTAAATTAGCACAGTACAGTTGTGTATTTATCACCACTTAATAAATACTATTGTAGTGTATTTATCACCACTTAATAAATACTATTGTAGTGTATTTATCACCACTTAATAAATACTATTGTAGTATATTTATCATAACTTAATAAGTAATATTGTAGTGTAAAGTATTATGCATCTGCATATACAGTCTCTCCTCGACTTACGACATACTCGACTTACGACAACCCGGACATACGACCACGACCGCCGTGGTCGTCTAAAATATTTTTCAAGTTAAGTATTTTCAAGTCCCGAAACGTTTTGTCCTAAAGTGACCTTGTACGACAGCGTGGGCCAGGCTGCCTCGTGGTGTACAGCATCCACGTTACAGCCGCTCAGTTGGTGTTTGGCCGTCGTTGTTGTTGTTAGTGATCGCGCTGTGTACTGACAAAATTTTCGTTTCTAATTCCCTTTAAAATGACTGGCAAGCATAAAAGGGAGAGTTCTCGTGGTGTTGAGAAGAAAAGAGAAAGTCAATTACTTTTGAGATGAAAATGAAAATAATAATGCAATATGAAAATGGAAAAATGGTAGCAACCATTTCACGCGACCTTGGCTTCTCTCACTCGACGATATCAACAATTTTGAAGGACATGGAACGAATTCGTGAGGTAGTGAGAGGATCAGCACCTATAACCTATAAAGGGAACAATAATAACGAAGATCAGCTGCAAAAGCGTGTACCCTTAAGCCTTCTAACCATACAGGCTAAGGCAAGAAGCATTTTCGAAAGCCTGAAAGAGCAGGCAGGAGATGAGTTCGACCAAAACTTCACAGCAAGTCATGGGTGGTTCCAAAGGTTTAAGAAACGTTACAGTTTGCACAGTGTAAGGGTGAGTGGAGAGGCAGCAAGTGTTGATGTGGGTGCTGCCGAAGCTTTTAAGGAGCTAGATCGTGTCATCGTGGAGGGAAATTATTTGCCTGAGCAAATATTTAATGTGGATGAAACTGGCTTATTCTGGAAGCGCATGCCAGAACGGACATACATCCACAAAGAGGCGAAAACCATGCCGGGATTCAAGGCATTCAAGGACCGAATCACTTCTGTTGGGGAGAAATGTAGCTGGTTTCAAGGTAAAATCCTTCATGATATATCATTCAGAGAACCCAAGGGCTTTTAAAAATGTCAGCAAGCACACACTGCCAGTGTTTTATCACAGTAATAAGAAAGCATGGATGACCCAAGCACTGTTTGAGGATTGGTTCCTGAGTTGTTTCATTCCACGAGCCAAGGAGTATTGTTTGCAACAAAGGGTTGCGTTCAAGATTTTATTAATTTTAGATAATGCTCCGGGACACCCACCACACCTGGACGACCTGCACCCTGATGTTAAGGTAGTCTACCTTCCACCTAACACTACCTCTATCATCTAACCCATGGATCAAGGTGCTATTGCTGCTTTTAAAGAGTATTATTAGCGTACGACCTTCGCTCAGGCTATTGCTGCTACTGAAGGTGAAAAAATGCTCAGAGAGTTTTGGAAGGACTACAACATTTTGCAATGTACAAAGAACACAGCTGCAGCATGGGATGGGGTTACAGGTCAGTGCATGAATGGTATATGAAAAAAGGTCCTGAAAAGATATGTGAACAGTTTCAAAGGATTTAATGAAGATGAAGCAATTTCTGAGATAAGTAACAAGATAGTGCAGATGGGTCAACAGCTGGAGTTAGAAATTGATAATGAAGATGTTGAGCAGTTGGTGGAAAGTGTAGCAGAAGAGCTAAGTAACGAGGATCTTATTGAACTGGATGCACAGAAAATTGCAGAGGAAGAAGAGAGATAAACTGTAGAATGTAGAAGGAGAACCTGCACCCTCCAAAAAGTTTTTAGTGAAACAAATGGCAGAGGCATTTGCTACTATTAATAAGGGGATGCAAATGTTTGAAGAAATGGCTCAAAATGTTGAGCATTTTGCAAAAGTTGACAGACTTATCCAAGATGCATTTGCTTGTTACAGGGATATTTACAATGAAAAGAAAAGGCAAACTGTGCAGTCTGAATTGGACATATTTTTTAAGAAGTCCCCCACTGCTGTCTCCTCACGCCCCACCACTGCTGCCTCTCCACTCCCTTAAGATGATCCAATACCTTCAACAAGCAAGTATGTTAGCCTGTCTGAAGAAAGTGAACTTGATGACCCACACAGCCCTGTCTCCTCCCCTGCTTCATCCAATTAATGTAGTCTACATGCTAAATTAAAAAATTATTGAGGCCCCATGTGCATTCAGCTGACTACATTAAAGGTAAGTGCACAGTAACACTTTATTAATTTTTAATTATTGATTACTTTTACTGTACTGTATTTCATTTTAGAATTTATATGTATTATTCTCGCTTTTTCGACTTATGGCCTGGTCGTCGGGACGGAACCCAGTCATAAGTCGAGGAGAGACTGTACCCTGGTATATTCATTAATCATTTGTCTGAGTGTACAAGTAGCCAAATTGAGTCATCATATAACACTCAAAGGCAATAAATAATGTTTTTAAGAAGGCATCTTCATATCGAATACATACAGCTTATCCTTTTATTTTCAAGTCAAATTACATACAGTACTGTAATTTTCTCTATTACTGAAGATGTTATATTAATCATGATGAACCATAAACCATAAGAGGCCAATCATATGAGAATATAATACAGTACTGAATCGATAAATAAATAAACCTGATGAATGTGGCAACACCTAATCAGCCCCAGCCTGCTTACGGTGTCTTAGTTCTCAGTAGGCCTATAGCAAATCTGATTAGAGCACTGTACATTATTCAGTAAGTGTTGTTCATTTCATCAGATTTTTATTTCTTTTTTAATCTTCTCCATTTTATTTCTTTATTTCTTGGCGACCAGAACATCTCAGAGTCCGAAAAAAGAGAAATCCGATTTATTGAAGTCAGATTTATCGAGGTTTTACTGTAAAGGAAAAGGTAAAATAAAATACACATGATCTTTACTGCACATTAAAATACAAATTTAAGGGTCATCGAGGGGGGGGGGAGGATTAATGAGTGGCTGCTTAGTACACAATGGCCCCCATAATCCCCCAAAACTAACTTAGCAAAAGTCTGGACTATCAGCAAGTCCGGACCGCGTTTCCCACAAATTGTCCGGACTTTAGAGGGTTTACTGTGCAGTAATTTTAAATATATCTTTTTTTATCCTTAAATATATTTATGACAAAGACCAGATGATATGGAAAACCAAAAATCAATAAAGAATATGTACAGTACAATACTGTACTGTATAGTCAATAATCACCTGCAGGTCTCTCCAGGTGAGTCTCAAGTCCATCATCATCTTGAAGAGTGAGCTTCTTGAAGCTTACACCTCCACCCTGGGCTAAACTGATCTCTCCCTCATCTCTAAGATATGACAATAATTGTAATGAAATATCACTTAAATTATTTGCAATAAAATCAACAGTATTTGTACAATACTTGGATATCATTAAGACATAAGTGAGATAAGCAACATGGCATTATTATTATATAAAGGTTTACCTGAAAAACAGAACAAAACTTTATAAATGTACACAAATAAATTTAACAATAAACACATGCATCACACATCAGATAAAACTTGTTAGGAAATGTTAGCAACTGTTCCAAGCTTTATGTTGTACAGGTTGTACCTCTCTAGTCCGGCAACCTCGGGACCTGACCGGTGCCGGACCATGGAAATTGCCGGACCATGGAAATTGCCGGACCATGGAAATTGCCGGACCATGGAAATTCACCCTTTTCCTGGATAGATAGTGACTTGTGCTTACGCCTGGAAGCACTAGCACCACTTTCTCTGCATCATGGTCTCTTTGAAGACATATTGAAGGGTTAAATGTCGTATAGTAGCTTCTCAAATTTCGCGAGTTTTTAATTCTTAACGTATTTTATTGGAACACACACAAAAATATATAAATAAAAATTTTGACGGCGGAAACTTGAATTTCGACGGGTTTGAATGGCCCGCCAACGAGCAGGCGACGTGCATAATCGTGTAAACAGCGTCATTTCTCTTATGTACAAAAGATTCATTATTGTTTATTACTGAATGTCTTTTTTATTGAATTAATGTTTATGTGTGCAAAATGAGCAATACAATTCATTAATAATACGTAGAATATTAAAACACACGAGGAAATGACACAGCATTGTATTCGTTGATTACAAAACCAGTGACTGACTGGTTCTACATATAAAACTGAAGAAAATAAGACCTTGGTTGTAGCTGTAGTAAAATTAATATGATTGTTTTAAGTAATGTTATTTAATGTTAATAAATGGAACAATAGAAGCAGCTAACGATAATGGTAAAGAAAAAAGAGAGATCGCATATGTAAGTGCGCATGCGCACACGTGAAAACATATCATCATTACTTTACATAAGAATATGAAAGCAACACTTATTTACTGTTCATATATATTTTAATTAATGTTTCTGAATTTGTTTTTATTGAATTAATGTACGTGTGTGCAAAATTAACAATACAATTTATTAATAATACGTGGAATATTAGAGGAGACGAGACGGCTGCCGGCATTGTTTATGTTAAAGCTTACGAAACCAGTGCTGATTGGTTCTACATATAAAACTGAAGAAAATAAGACCCTGAGTTTAGCTGTAGTAAAATTAATGTAAAAAAATTAATATGGTTGCTTGAAGTACCTGTAATGTTATTTAATGTTAATAAATGGAACAATATAAGTAGCTAACCATTAATGGTAAAAAAAAAAGTGAGACTGCTCGTATGTAAGTGCGCACATGTGAAAATATATCGTCATTACTCTACATAAGAATATGAAAGCAACACTTATTTACTGCTCATATATATTGAAGGGTTAAATGTTGTACTCTGTATAGACAAGCAGAGAGAGAGAGAGAGAGCAGCCGAACTGCCGGATGTAAACAAACCTTAATTTCCCGCGGCTTTTTTTTTTAAGGGGATTAGCCCACCCGGGAATAGGTCACTGACCCACATTAGGGCCTGAGGGGCAAAAATTTAATACTCCTGTAATAATAATAATAATTCAGATAAAAAAAAAAAAAAAAGCTGCCTATCTACCTATTGGACAAACTAAAATCGTTCCAGACCACGGGAGTTTCCGGACCACAGAATGCCGGACTAGAGAGGTACAACCTGTACTTCAACTTCATCCCTGAGAATGACTTGATGTACAATCACAAGTGTGGAGAGATTAATATGTTCTACCTGTCTGTTTTATATGATTTAAACATTTAATTGCCTCAGTGGCAAACTTGGAGAATTGGGAATGAAAGATTGGTAAAAAAATATTCAATTAAAAAGGTGGGAAAGAGACAAGAAGACCAAGGAGGAGTAAGACTGGATATAGGGAGGTATTGAGCAAGATACAGTATAGATAGACAGCAGTATAAAGGGAGAGCATAGTGTTGAGTGCTTAGTGAGGATGGATATTACAGCTATTGGAAAGTATTAATGATAGCATATGATGGGAGAGTTTGTACTGCTTGATAACAGTCGTCTTGTGCCATTTGGGAAAAAGTTTACAATGAATGAGAACGTTATCATAGAAACCCAACTTACACAGGTATGGAGTGTGTTTTCAAAATATTAGTTAGCTGAGTGACTTGTAAATTTAAATTGGACATCTTTTCCTTCAGTGAACGACTTTCTGCCTGTGCTTGTTTTTCCGTCTCATATAATTTCTTTTCCATTGCCGTGAGTTCTCCGCGTAGCCGTAAAACCTAAAAAAAAAAAGGAAAAGAAAGGAAACAATCAAACAAGAAGGTCACACATTTTCAAATACAAATTAATGGAAGCAACTAAATATTAAGAAAGCATAGAAACAAATGGATTCAGAGAGTATTGTATGTACCATATTTGTCAATAATAATGTTGACTTACCTCTTTGGAGTCATCAGTTGAGCCGTGGTCACCATCAGCCCCCTGTTCACCACTTGGGTCGCCACACAGTACCTCCACTTGTCTCTCATATCGCTCATTTTCACCAACCAACTGCCATTTGATATATTTAAGATTATCCACTTATGACAATAAATTTAAAAGGTACAGAGCAGATTAAAATATTTATCTGTATTATATTATTAATTTCCCAACTTTATGTGGAGGGGATAAAGGAGATGTAGAAACCTTAGAGTACTTCAATAATAATGTAAAAGCAGGCACTATGGGCCTAAAAACCTGTTAGGGGTAATACAGATAAAGCACACTGCAAACTGCACCTTTTTAGTACACAAGGAGGCAGTGTAGCCAGCACTACACTCAGCTATGTTTACTTTCCAAACTGTATTGTTTGACACCAATTCATAGTTGGGGGAATGAAAGTGTCTTGGGTACAAACACACACATCAGCAACCCTAATTACAGTACATTATAAAAGTATTGTACCCATTGAGCTGCATCACCACTTTATAATTAGGTATTATAACATACAGGTACAGTAATAAAAAAAATTACAAAAATTAGCCTTTACAAACCAATTACAACTATGTAAGATTAAAGTAAGAGAATTTTTGTGTTTCCATTTTCTTCAACACACTGTATCCGCTATTCTGAGGTGCCAATATACATCCATTAAACTTTATGGTCCGCATGCTTGGGATCCTAATAAATTAAGCTGGTAAAAAAGAAAAAGAGAGGCACTTAGAAATTTTCACTTTTTGGCTGTAATGCTTATTTTTAGGTTGTCTCCTGAAATATAGTTCTAGATCCAAAGCAGTAGAGCAGAGGTTGGAAGTGCATGTCTCAGGACTAGCCAATTTTCAAGATAATAAAAACAATTATTTATGCTTCAGTTCCCATCGGATACAGAAATTATAATAGTGTACAGTGGTCCCTCGGTTAACGAACACAATTCGTTCCACAGAGTCGTTCATTAACCGAAAATTTTGTTTACCGAATCCATTATTTCAATGGGATATTGGGTAATTGGTTCCAGCTCACAGAAAAGTACATACAAAGTATAAACAAAATGCAGTAAAGTAAATTTACTTTGAGGTGTCTATGTAGAATGTTGCTGGTTGATGATGATGATGATGGGAATTAAAAGTGGGGGTGGAGGAGAAGGGAGAAGAGAAGGAAGTGGGGATGGAGGACGAAATCGCCTTTCTTTGGACCGATGCTTGATGCAGTAATTTCACCAATAAAATTTTAAGTTCACTAGCTGTAATTACAGATTGTTTTATTTAAATCAACACTGCACTGCACTATATATTATCAATATGTTAACTAAATTTCAGAATGACCAATAGTTTTAATGTAAAAAAGTAAAAATACTCTGTATTCAAGAGAGCGACAAACATGATGTTTCCTCCACTGTAAAGAAAGTGAAACTGACGCTTTGGCAGGTGAGTCAAGCAGCTGATGGGCGCACAAAAAACTAGTTCCATGTACTGCATACATTATCAACATGTTAACTAAATATTAAAATGACTAATAATTTTAATATTAAAAATGCAAAAATATTAAAGAGCACAACCTTCTTGATATTTACTCCAATGGAAACGAATGTAAACATAGAACCGATTACTGTATTGGCGGACTAGCCGATCAGCTGATGCTCTCAACAAAACGTGTTTGTCGTAAGGATTTCGTTAATCGAAGTTTTGTTCGTTAACTGAATTGAAGATTCTTATGGGAGCTAATTTGTTAACCGAAATTTTGTTAATCGAACCGTTCGTTAACCGAGGGACCACCGTATTCTTTTAAATACTCAAGGTGAAAGATTATACAGTGGTCCCTCGGTTAACGAACACCTCGGTTAACGAAATTTCGGTTAACGAATTACCTTCCATAAGAAGATTCAATTCGGTTAACAAACAAAAATTCGGTTAACGAAATTCTTACGAAAATGTTTCAACACGCTTTGGCTTGCTCACCAGCTGGAAGATTAGTCCGCCAATACAGAAACCGGTTCTAGAGCTTATATTCGTTAAAATTGAAGTATATATCAAGAAGGTTGTACTATTCAATAATTTTCCAAGTTTTATATAAATTTTTTTAGTCATTTTAACACTTATTTAACATAATTGCAGTACAGGGAACTCGTTTTTGGTGCGCCCAACAGCCACTTTACTCACCCACCAAGGCCTCAGTTTGTATCTCTGTTCAGTGGAGGAAACATCTTGCTTGTGGGTCTCTTGAACACAGAGTATTTTTACATTTTTACAGTACAATTATAGGTCATTCTGAAATTTATTTAATATATTGACAATATATAGTGCAGTGCAGTGTTGATTTAAAGAAAATAATCTTGAATTACACCTAGTGAACTTAAAATTTTATGGGTGAAATAACGGCATGAAGCATGGGGTGATTTCTCTTCCACCCCCAATTCCTTCTTTTCTCCCTTCTCCACCCCCACTTCTAATTCCCATCATCATCATCATCAACCAGGAGCCTTCTACATACACACCTCAAAGTACGTGTACAGTACTTAGCTGCATTTTTTTTTACTTTGTATGTAATTTTCGGTGAGCTGGAACCAATTACCCAAAATCCCATTGAAACAATGGTTTTGGTTAACGAAATTTTCGGTTAATGAACGACATTCTGGAACGAATTGTGTTCATTAACCGAGGGACCACTGTACTGTACTATATAAGACTGATCTACTAACCCTTGACAGCTCCTGCAAAAGAGTGTTATTCTGAAGTCTAAAATCTTCTTCTTGGTCTCTTAATTTGTTGCGAAGATAACTATTGTCACGAATCAAAAGTTCAACCTCTGATGCCTTTTTCGATGTCCTGATCAAAGTCTGGTAACGGCCATTTTCTTCTTCCAAATTGTGTAACCTTGTCTTAGCATCTGTCAATTCTTAAAGAAGGAAAACAGAAAAACACAGTTAAACTTTAATATCACACACTCATAAAATATTAAGAGTACAGTGCTGTACTTTGAATGACTTACTATATTGTACCTGCATAAATACAGAAAAAAAATATATAGAATATACACCTGTACAGTGGAATATTGGTCAAGAATTTAAGTTTGCTTTAACTTATTGAAACCTACCCTTTTTGTGCTTACGCAGACTGTCATCCAGGCTGTAATTTTTTTCTCGTAATTCTAAAAGTTGATTCTGAAAAAAAAAATAAATAAAAATAAATACTTTTCCAGACAATGATTGACATTAGGATTATTATCTTCCATGTAATGGTTCTATACAGTACAGTATACTGGTACACCTGTCCTGTTTAATATTGAGAAAAAAAGAGGTAAAATTGCTGTTGTTTATCTATTTAAAGCAAGCAAAGATCCTTAAGCGTTTTTCACCTGGGACCCCTACCAGTTGATCTCTGACCCAACACCCTCCCCCATGATGTTTAAGTGTACAGTATTACCCCGCTTTACGCGGTTTCACTTTCCGCGATTTCTCATTTACGCGGTACCTCGCCAGAACCGGACTTTCACTTTCCACGGTGCATCTACTCATATACGCGGGCGAAGTATAATTTTTTATTTAGCTCATAAAATTCATACAAATTACCCGGCCAAAATATAATTTACATTGCAGGAATTCTTACAATATGATGATCATTTCGAATATAACATCATGGATTTTGCATTAGACATACAAATTTTAGATCTAATGTAATAATTTGGTTTACACAAAGCAAATATTTTATCGTTTGTGCAAAATATATGAAGTTTACATTCAAAATATTCCCTGACCTGCAAGGAATCCAGAAATGTCAATTATATTATCCTAACTTTAGTCTGAGTTATTATTTATTACTAAAAATGAAAAGATACTGTTTTCTCCCAAACATTTCTCTGGTAGGGAGGGAAGGTGGGGGGTGGGGGGGAGGGTTGGGACCGCCCGACCCAGCTGGCATGAGTGTGAGGAGGGGGGGAAGGCAAGGTGGGGTACTTTGATTGACAGATAGTGTTGTGAAGAGTATTTTTTTTTTATTAACTGAAGATATTTGTTTTAGCTCATAAAATTCATACAAATTACCCGGCCAGAATATAATTTACATTGCTGGAATTCTTACAATATGATGATCATTTTGAATATAAACATCATGGATTTTGCATTAGACATACAAATTTTAGATCTAATGTAATAATTTTTGGTTTACACAAAGCAAATATTTTGTGCAAAATATATGAAGTTTACATTCAAAATATTCCCTGACCTGCAAGGAATCCAGAAATGTCAATTATATTATCCTAACTTTAGTCTGAGGTATTATTTATTATGAAACCTTAAAATCTAGTGTTTTCACCCAAGCATTTCTCAGAGAGGTAGGAGCCAGTGAGCTGGAAAGAGGGGGGGGGGGAAGTTGAGACCATTATTTGAATGGACATTAACCTGGCGAATGTATTTCTCTTAAATATTAATTGTGTGAGCATACCATCATAAAATTAAGATGTTATTTTTCTACAACATAGGTATTGTGTCGGAAAAAGTGGAGTTTGGGGGTCGGGCCAGTCTCTATTGGAATTAATCCCATATGTTCTGTTGTTCACTTTACGCGGTTTTCACTTTCCACGGTACCCCGTGGGTTCAATTGACCGCGTAAATTGGGGTACTACTGTACTGTAAAGAATATTACTGTAGTTCATTAAAGGTGACATCCAGAGCCATCCCTAGGGTATGGCAACTGGTGCGACCGCCCTGGGCCCATAGGCCCTTACCTCACCCAACGCCAGAATTAGTGACCATATTAAACTGACCTCACCTTACCACCCAGATTTAGGAGACCGCCTGAAGGATTAGTGACCAACACAGTTTGGCAATGCATCTGCTGACATGAGGTCAAGGGTAAGATTAAGCCACCCCATCTTACCACCCAGACTAAGAACAATGTCATTCTTTACTGTGTTCTCTGTCGAAGAGGAGTGAGGACATTGACAGCGGTCACCTGTCAGTGTTGTCTAAACTCTGTATCCCCAGTTGTCCGTGTTTTGTGAAATTGTTGATATACATTATTATCCTATCGTACACAGCCCTCGTTTTTTATTATACCAGCCAGCAGGGATAGAGACAGATACAGAAAATGCATCTCGGGTGCAGAGAAATGGCAAAAAAAAAGGATGAGAGAAGAAATCGAAATGTCAATGAAAGGTTCCCTAGAAAAATATGTGTTTTAAGAAACATCAGAAACTAGAGCAAAAATGGACCTGAGCGACTGTGATGGTGATAGTGTGGGTCATATTTAAGCTGAGGAAAAGGAGTACAGTCGACCCTCGTTAATTCGGACTAATAGGGAGGGAAGGGTGTCCGTTTTAGCCGATTGTCCGAATTAACCGATTTAGGGGTTTATATTTCAAAGAAAATGCAGTGAGTTTGTCCTTAGCCTTGCATATGTCCAAAACAGTTTGCTTTTTAACACCATACTCGTCACAAACTCTAGCCACCGAAGCACCAGCCTCTAACTTCCTTATAAGTTCCAGTTTCTGGTTCACAGAAAGGGTCACATACTTCCTCTTCAGCGTATTAGAGGTACTCCCCCTTGAAGACATGAAGTAAAATACAAGGCTGAAAGATGCCTAATCACTTAAATATCAACGAAAATTGCAGGGCAACACAACACTGATACTCGAATATGGCACTAAGTCAACAATGACTGGCGGTCTGGCGCGCGCGCGCCATCTATCGGACAATCCCAGAACCAGAAATTTGATACGGACAGTCCCTCACTTAGTTCAGATTTCGTCCGAATTATCCGAAATCCGGATTAAAGGGGTCCGAATTAACGGGGGTCGACTGTACTGAAAAAAATACTAAGGCTTTTAAATTGGACAGTTGTACCTACTCCACGAGCATGCTGAAGAAGATCTGTGTGATCCAGCCAACTGGACACATTTACTGGACACTATGACAATTGATACCTGTTAAGGTATCTAGTGAAAATTATGTGTTTCCAAGAAATGGTGAAAACCGACAATTTTCAGACGGCTTTTACATGCAAAGATTGCCAGATGGGGAAATAAATGAAAGATGTTATAACTTAGTAAATTACATAATACTTGGCATAGTAATAGTATAATTGGGGAATTAACAATATGTATATTACAGCATGTATGTATGTAACTATAAAAAAAAAATTAACCTTCTCTTTTATTTAATAAATAAATAAATATTGATAATACAGTAATACCCCGCTTTACGCGGTTCTGGTTTACGCGTTTCTACATTTACGCAGTACCCTGCCAAAACTGGAATTCCCACTTTACGGAGTGCATCTACTCATATACGCGGGTGAAGTATAATTTTTTTATTTAGCTCATAAAATTCATACAAATTATCTGGCCAGAATATATTTTACATTGCTGGAATTCTTACAATATGATGATCATTTTGAATGTAAACTTAATGGAATTTGCATTAGATCTACAATATGTATGTCTAATGCAAAATCCATGATGTTTATAATCAAAATGATCATCATATTGTAAGAATTCCAGCAATGTAAATTATATTCTGACCGGGTAATTTGTATGAATTTTATGAGCTAAATAAAAAATTATACTCCACCCGCGTATATGAGTAGATGCACCGCGTAAAATGAAATTCCGGTTCTGGCGAGGTACCGCGTAAATGTGGAATCGCATAAAGTGAAACCGCGTAAAGCGGGGTATTACTGTATACATGAGCTAGTATGACTACCATGTGGCTATCTCTCTTCCTACTCTTATGTTCGTTCACAAAAACTTTCAGGCTTCCGCCCTGGGTTTTCTAATTGCTCTCAGCATGAAGGCCAGAGTTGAGTTTTTCTCTTCATAACTTTATTTTATTGATGTCATCAGTAGCGGGTTCAGCCTTTCCAGGCGAACTTTAGCGAGGCTGCTAGACTTAGTGTTACTTCCGGGATGCTGACCTTCCGGTCTTACTAGCAATCTAGAGTTTTGTTTCCTTGCATCCTTATATGGGTTATATGAGAACCATTCAGGGTGGAATTCTCAAGCCAATATATATTGCTAGAGTAATAGTGAACGATGTTGCCAATAGAGCACCATTTTAGCGGCTCAGCATTGTCAACCCTGCCGGGTGATAGTACTCACTCAGGCATTATCGCTCAAGCTAATTAATTGGGGAATAATGTCTGTGCCCCTGATTGGCAACAAATAGAGAACTTGATGATCCCTCTAAATAAAAATGCTCTAAATGAAATTAGTTTATGTAAAAAAAAAAAAAAAAAAAAAAAAAAAAGGGTGTAAAAAACCAACCCCCTTACTTACAGAATTTGTAATTCAACTGTTAAACAGAGGTGTAATGGTACTGTTACAGTCAGAGAAATGTTTCATGTCTCGCCTATTCCCAGTCCCCAAGAAAGGCAGCGACGAATTGAGATGGATTTTGGATCTTTCAGTCCTGAACAAATTTATTACCAAAAGAAGTTTCAAGATGCTCACTTACGATCATCTGAGGCATCTACTTCTGCCCAATGCTTGGATCTCAAAAGTGGATCTCGAAGATGCCTATTATCACGTTCCTGTTGCTCCCAGGTACAAAAAAAAAGTTTCTAGTGTTCAAAGTGGGGGATGTCAGTTATCAATTCACAGTGATGCCATTCGGCCTGATGGTTGCACCAAAAGTATTTACGCAACTGACGAACATCCCCAGAGAGATCCTTGCAAAGGAGGGCATAAGAACCTTTGCTTATCTACACGATTGGCTGATAGTGCAAAACTCTTTCGAAGATTGTCAAAGGGCGACCCAACGTACACTAGTACTATTTCAAAACCTAGGATTTAAGATAAACCAGGTCAAATCAAATTTAATGCCATGTCAGAAATTGGATTGGTTAGATCTCCAGTGGGATACAAATCAGCAGTCAGACAGTCTACCACAAGCAAAAGTAGCAGATGTGATAAACCAAGTAGAAGCCTTTTGTGTAAAGCACAAGGTTTCTTGGCACAATTGGGAAAAACTTCTGGGTCTGTTGAATTTTGCCACAATAGTGGTTCCATTAGGAAAGTTAAGGAAAAAGCAACTACAGTAGGCTCTCGCCAATAACGACTTCCACAATAACGTTTTCGACAATAACGGTAAGTTACAATAGATACCCATTTTCGATAATAGCGTCTGGATTCTCTTAAATAACGGAGATTTTGCGAGAAGCGTCCAAG